CCCCCCCCCCCCCGCTTCACTCTGGGGGTGGAGTCAGAATCGCTGCTTCCTTCTCTGGGTCGGGCTGGCGAGCATGGGCGGAGGCTTGCCTGCCGGGTGCGCTGAGCCCGAGCCCGCTGGAGTGAGGAAAACCAGGTCCCTCTATGGCTCGTCACCCGAAGCACGAACTCACAGGCAAATTTCCCAGTTTTTAGCTCTTTGCCTTCCCTCTAGAGTCCCAGCCAGCCAGGAGCGCGGACGCCGGTGTCTGTGCGCGCGGCTCTTCCAGGGACCCAAGCCGCCTGGGAGCTACAATGGCGGCAGGCGCGCTGCTACTCTGAAGTCCAGCCAGCCAGAAGCAAGCACAAAGAAGCAGTCTGTGCGCTCAGCCCCCCAGGACCAGTTGGCGAGAGGGGACCTGGCGTGCAGGTATTTGGCAAGTACGGTCTTTTTATGCCCCGAGCGGAGGTTTTTCCCCGCCGAGCAGAGGTTTTTCTGTTTCGGACTCTCTCTTTTTCCCCTCTCACTCCCCGTAGAGGGGGATCGCCTCCGACCCTGGAGTCTCCGATCCCGGCCCGATTTTATCTTCCCCAGTTCGCACTCACATTAGAAGGCTTTCTCAGTGGATTCTGCATCCTTTTTCTCCCAATCTCTCAGGTTTTTTAAGGTTTCCAATGGCTTCAGATCTTTCCCGTGTGATGTATGGGCGCAAGTGCAAGTACGGAGCTCCTTACTTCTCCGCCATCTTGCCCCCTCCTCCTAATTTGATATATTTCTGCATGTCAGTAATAACAATATACATATTTACAAACGTAATAGAAAATAGTTTCAAGGTAGCAAGCTACAGCTAGACAGTCTCTTGGAGAAAGGTATTTTTATTTATTTTTCTTTTTTTTCTTAAATAGTTTATTGTCAAGTTGGTTTCCATATAGCACCCATTACTCATCCCAACAAGTGCCCTCCTCCATGCCCATCACCCCTCTTCCCCTCTCCCCCACCCCCATCAGCCCTCAGTTTGTTCTCAGCATTCAAGAGTCTCTCATGGTTTGCCTCCCTCTCTCTCCCCAACTAATTTTTCCCCTTCTTCTCCTTCATGGTCCTCCGTTAAGTTCCTCCTAATCCACCTCTATGTGTAAACATATTGTATCTGTCTTTCTCTGCCTGACTTATTTCGCTCAGCAGAACAGCCTCAAGTACCATCCATGTTGCTACACATGGCCAGTTTGCATTCTTTCTCATTGCCATGGAGTATTCCATCGTATAGATACACCACATCTTCTTGATCCATTCGTCAGTTAATGGACACTTAGGCTCTTTCCATGTTTTGGCTATTTTTGAGAGTGCTGCTATGAACATTGGGGTACATGTGCCCCTATGCATCAGCACTCCTGTATCCCTTGGGTAAATTCTTAGCAGTGCTATCGCTGGGTCATAGGGAAGTTCTATTGTTAATTTTTTGAGGAACCTTCACACTGTTTTCCAGAGGAGCTGCACCAGTTTGCATTCCCACCAACAGTGTAGGAGGGTGCCCGTTTCTCCACATCCTCGCCAGCATCTAGAGTCCTCTGATTTGCTCATTTTAGCCACTCTGACCAGCGTGAGGTGGTATCTCAGTGTGGTTTTGATTTGTATTTCCCTGATGAGGAGGGATGCTGAGCATCGTTTCATGTGTCTGTTGGCCATCTGGATGTCCTCTTTGGAGAAGTGTCTGTTCATGTCTTCTGCCCATTTCTTCACTGGATTGTTGGTTTTTCGGGTGTGGAGTTTAGTGAGTTCCTTATAGATTTTGGATACTAGCCCTTTATCTGATATGTCATTTGCAACTATCTTTTCCCATTCCGCCAGTTGCCTACTAGTTTTATGGATTGTTTCCTTTGCGGTGCAGAAGCTTTTAATCTTGATGAGTCCCAATCATTTATTTTTGCTCTTGATTCCCTTGCCTTTGGGGATGTGTCAAGTAAGAAATTGCTGCGATTGAGGTCAAGGAGGTTGTTTCCTTCCTATTTTCTTCTCTAGGGTTTTGATGGTTTCCGGTCTCACATTCCTTTATCCATTTTGAGTTTATTTTTGTGTATGGTGTGAGAAAACGATCTAGTTTCATTCTTCTGCATGTTGCTGTCCAGTTCTCCCAGCACCATCTGTTAAAAGAGGCTGTCTTTTTTCCATTGGATATTCTTTCCTGCTTTGTCAAAGATTAGTTGGTCAGTCAGTTGTGGGTCCAATTCTGAGTTCTCTATTCTTTTCCATTGGTCTATGTGTCTGTTTTTGTGCCAGAGAAAAGTATTTTAGATGAAAAAAAGGAAAAAGTATTACTTTGTCAGTAGGTGAATAAGATGTAAATTCATTTTCAATTACTTGTATATTTATAGTTTCAGACAAAGGAACTTTACAGTGGATGAAAGATCATATTTATCTGTGAGGTACTTTTATATGGATACTATGTTATAAATTCCATATTCAGTAACTGAAGGGCACAACCTAAAGCAGAGAAATTAGGAAAACTCCTATAGATCATAAGCATGGACAGAAATAATTTAAAAGTATGTTAAGAATAAATTTATCTACGTCTTTAGAGTTTGAAGATTTGCAATAATTTTTTTTATTTAAATCATGCTAATTAAACTAAGAATGAACCTATATTCCCTAGGAACCAGGAACTTTTATACTCCAGCTACCACTGATAATTCTAAGGTTTCCTGGAACACAGAATTTCATTTGAACAAAAGCAGGACATAGCTCATAACTGAAGTTATGGCTTCACTTACCAACAATGGAGCAGGGTATTTCACTTCAGCCACATGTTAGAATCTCCTGGACACTTTGAAAAATCCAGAAGCCAAGGCAACATTGCAGGCCAATTACCTGAGCATCTCTTTGGGTGGGATCCAGGTACCAACTGAGTTAACCAATTTCTCAGGTGACTCCAACTTTGCAGCCAAGGTTGTATGACAGTGCATTATCAGAGGTTAAATGTATGCTAAAACAGCCAGATAAAAATGTGGAAATTTCCACGTGTGTGTGTTAGGCGTTATGCAGAGAAAAGAAAGTGTATAGTGTAATGATTAAGAGCAATGATCCAAAGAAGACCTCTTAAATTGAATCTCTTGATTCTGCCACTTGGTCTGGAAAAGTTACAAAATTTCTGTGTGCGTCAGCCTTCTCATTAGCAAGTCCCTGCCTTATAGGATTGTTGAGACACATAAATATAAAAGACTCAGAACAGTATCTGAAACAGTCCTCATTATATATTGAATATGTGTATTTGAAAGATATTTGATTTACAGATGCATTTTTAATCATCTTAACTATGTTCAGATTATTTTAATGATGATTTCACCGTTTAGTCATATTCCATGACAAAGTGGCTAAATTTTATGGGCAGTAAACAATTGGCCAGTTCTCCATAATCCTCTATATTTGCGTAAATCAGTAAAAATCATGCAGTGGGATAGTAACTGAAAGAACTAAACTAACAGGTAAGCAACAAACAAAAGCAACTGAAAATCAGTGAGAAACTTTCGAGATCAGATGTTTATGATTCTGAAGAAAAGATATTCTAGATGAAGAGACAATCCCAGTGGGGACCTCACTAAATGAGGAGATAGTCTGGGGACAGGGGAAGGACAGTGAAAAGAAAAGAGTCAGGTATTTTGTGCAAAACAAAGGGATTAGGAAACATATAATATTGGAAATTATATCTCAAACATTTTTTTAGATCCCAAATTTTTAAAGCTCCAGCAATATAGAGTACTCTCTTAGGTTTAGGTATATATGAAAGAACTTTTTCCACAAATTATATTTCATTCTATAATGCATCCAAAACTTTTATTGGGTAATTTGTTGTAGCCATTATTATTACTTAAAAATAACCGAGTAACAATTTACTTAGCTCTTTTTTTTTTTTTTTTTAAGGAGGCACAATGTTACTTAAATCATCTCATTTAGGGGCACTTGGGTGGCACAGTCAGTTAAGAATCTAACTTCAGCTCAGGTCATGATCTCTGATTTGGGAGTTCAAGCCCAACATGTGATTCTCTGCTATTTGTGTTGAGTCCACTTCAGATCCTCTGTCCCCTCCCCCACCCCTCTCCCGCTTACTCACGTGCATAGTGTGCTTTCTCTCAAAAATGAATAAACATATATAAAAAAAGATTCTTTCTCTACCTTCCCCCCACTCTAAAATTTTAAAAAAAATCTCATTTAATCTTCATACTATTCTTTAAAATAAATATCATTATTGATCCTTTTTTTTAATGAATTAGGAAACTGAAGCCCAGAAAAGTCAAGTAATAAATTTAGTTTATATTCCCAATAAGTGGTACAGCTATGATTTAAACTAAACTGACTAACTTCAGAACTCAAGATCTTAATCATTACATACCATGGGAAAAAATAAGGGAACAACTTTTGTTTTTAAGAAAATTGAAATATACCTGTGTGGCCCATTCCTTCTTTTGATCCAGTTGCAACAAAGTTTCTCTGATTATTCTCTTTCTAGCATCTTCCAAAGTGACTTTATAGTGTTCTTTAAAAAGAAAATTAGAAGTCTCAACAAGAATAATCCTAGGTAAGGGGCATCTGGGTGGCTCGATTAATTAAGTGTATGACTTTGGCTCAGGGTATGATCTCACTGTTGGTGAGTTCAAGCCCCATGTCGGGGTCTGTGCTGGCAACTTAGAGCCTGGAGCCTGCTTTGGATTCCATGTCTCCCTCTCTCTCTGCTCCTCCTCCACTTGTGCTCTCTCTCTCTCAAAAAAATGAATAAACATTAAAAAAAAATTTTTTAAAGACTAATCCTAGGTAAAACTATGCTGTTGGTAAATGTTATCTTCCATGATTTTCCTCCTCCTTTCTACACATTTCCCCCTGAATTTTCAGGGTACATTTTTACTGAAGCATCTAGTACCTTTAATTAGAAGAAATACTCCAATAATTTACTAAGATCTTAATGTGATTAGTTTAAGATATCTCTCCCAAGAATATCTGTATTTTCAAAGAACTGTCCCTCCAAGGGGAGAATTCCCAATACTTTAGTATGTATGCAGCCATCTACCTTTCACATCACACACTTCTGATTGCACAACGGAAATATAAAGAAGATTTGGTTATCTGCACAAGAAGGATCCTGTACCTCTGACTCTATCTAACTAAATTTCCAGTATTTTTGGCATATGTCTCCATGGGCAGGGAAGACAGAGTGAGAAGAGGGGAGAGGCATGGAGGGGCTGTGAAAGTCAGCCCTTGGTTCTGAGTTGGGCTCAGAGCGAGAAAGGAGAAGAGATATGAAGAAGTGCAGGATTCTTTGTTTTCTCCAGATGTTCTTATGTCACAGTCAGAATTGAGAGAGCTAAGGATCATAAAATCTTAGGCCTTAGCAATCATATTATCAAGACTTCTGTTTAAGGAAAGTGAACTACAGTGACATTAAGGCCACTGTAGAGAGTGGAAGGAAGAAAGGTACATAATGAGTCCAGTTTGTTAATCTGCTACTCAACAAACCAGCAGCAATGTCTTCTGATGTGCAGGTCACTACTTAAAGCCCTGAGGACACTGCTGGATAAGAGACAAGCCCCCTGCCCTTATGACGGGTACATTCCAATACAGAAGCCTGACCATAAGTAAACAAGTTAATAAATAGTATTTCAGGTGGCGATATGTGTGATGAAGCAGAACTAAAATTCTCCACTTCAGATAGGGTGACCAGAGACAGTTCTGAGGAGGTAAAGACTGAATGAGGTGATGTAGTCAGGAAAGTGCAACAGGAGGGAATCGCACTACCCCAAATCTGAGAATAATCAAAGTTAGTTGTGCCTTATGATAGCATCCATGTTAAGTCCTATTAGTTGTATTTTATTTATAACATCTGAAGGATAAATATTTGCTAGATTTCTGGACTGGTTCACAGAGACCCATTTAACCCATTCTGTAACTAAATACTTTTGTACGTGTGCTGCCATTGAGGACAGTTTCAAAGGGAACATTTTCTCCCCAGACCAAGTCTGTCAAAGCAAACCTCTCAGGGGTCTTGAGCTACAGGGAAGGAGATCTGCAGATCTGGTCCTTTAGTAGGTTAGAGCCAAGGTTCTGGAAAAGGGGACCAGAGCCAAAATTCCTTTTCCATACCTCTCTCCTCCTGCAGTCCCTGGGACACAACAGATAATGAAGAATATGTTGAAGAATATTTTATGTGCAAATCTTTGGTGGGCTGTTATCTGAGGCTTCACCACCAGGTATGGCAGCAGCAAACGATGGCCCTTCAGTGGTGACTGTGGTGGGGAGGGGAGGGAGAGTATGAAAAGAGAAGGGGGAGCTCTCCCAGGTTCCCCCATGGCCAGAAAGGGGGCGGGTCAGGTTGTGCCTCTAATAGAATTGGAACAAGAGTGTTGGACTGAGGCAGCAGTTTACAAACATGCACATTGTGGTTTGGGGACTAGTCTAACTTTACATCTGGAGAGTAAGAAAATGAAAGTCTTCATTATTCCAACCCACATGTACTCATCTATATAGCCTGTATTTTTCTTATTCTCATCTGGGGTAATCACCTGAATATTTTAATCATTCCAATCTCATTTCTGATAGAAATTGTTTTCAATTCACTACCTAGTCCACTAGACTAAGGCCGGATGTTTTTTTGAAATTTCTACCCAACAAAACACGACAAGCTGGGGGGGAGGGGGGAATGGGCATGAAGGAGGGCACTTTGGGGATGAGCACTGAGTGTTATGTAGAAACTAATTTGACAATAAACTATTTGTAAAAAAAAAAACAAAAAAAAAACACGACAAGCAATCTGAAAGTTGCCATGGATCAGGAGTTTAGTTATAGTGGATTTTTTATTCTTAGCATCTGAAAGAAACCGTAAAACCTGGAGCTTGATATCATTAAATATTAATTCTTTGCTGTAAATCATAAAAAACAGATGATCAAGTATGCTCTGACTAAAGTTATAGCTCTCTCTATTGGCATATTAATACTAAAAAAGCAACAAAAATATCCAGCTCTGTTCCAAGTTCCATATAAAATTCTATGGACTTTATATCTTCTTAAAAGCAGAAAACAAGAGAGCAGCACAAACAATTATTAACCACGCATTTTTGAATACAGCCAAAGAATCTGTGAGTATATAAATGTCTCCTCATAAAAGTTTGAGACATTGCTAGTGAGAGCGTGGGAGGCTATGGCTTTGTGCCTTTAAACTCCGGGCTGCTCAGGTCCCTGTCTACTGTGGCCACTTCTCAGAAGCTGAGCTCAAAGCCCTGCTGGCTGAAGTTGGTTTGCATTATTTTGCCTTCCTTGTTGTATCTGCTCTGAGTTGGTTTGCTCCTCCACAGTTTTCTGGGGGTCTCTTGTCCACTTTTCACATACTTGTCAGCGTCACACATCACCATACTGACCACCCCCTCCTGTGGTGGTGACCTCTCTGTGAGTTCTCTTGGAGATCACCAGGGGACTCCCATTTTACAGATGAAGAAATTAATGTTCAAAGAAGTAATGCTACTTTTTTGTAACTGTATTTGAGCCCAAATCTTTTAACTATTAGTGTACAAAGAAATTTTAGAGATTCCTGTCCTGTATGCCTGGTGAAGAACAAAAGTAAAAATGCTCTGTGGCTGTGATATCTAATGACTCTTAATAGCCTCACACTTTCTGTATTGCTGGGCCTCATCCTTTTATTGAGAGAGAGAGCCTTATCCCAGATATATTAGTCACCATATTTCTTATACCCACTACCCCAACATCTCTCAGCTAAAGTTCAAGGAAGCAGCTCTAGGTGTTTCTTCCCTTCCCCCCTAGAGCTTAGGGGATGTATTGAATAAGTCAGGGTTGGATAGCTGACCACAGAATGGTTTGTGCTGGGGTTGACTGATGACCCACGAGGAGGCATGGACAAAGGTCTTTGCTCATTTCTGATTAGTTGGGTGATCACACCAGCTCTTCAAAATCTGGGCTGGAGAAAACTGCAAGAACCGGTCTGTGGGAAACAAGAAGAGAATGGGGACAGGACAGAGCTAAGCAGAGGAACATCTGAAGGGGACAGTCACAGACCATGAGAGATAAATGCAGAGAGGAGCCATCTCTATAGCCATCACTGATCTGATAGGCTTCTGTTTCCATATTCAATCTTTCTATTCCTCACTACAAGTATTATATTCAACAAACATCACCACGAGACATCAAGCAACCTCAGTTTTATCTCTTCCCTTTAAAATTCATACTGTGGAGCTAGCAACTCAACAACTTATATGGCAAATTTCTGATTTTTCTAGTTCCTTTGTGATAATAAGAGGTTCTCCAATCAGTAATTAATATATCCAGTCTTTTGTAATAAATAAAACTTTAAACTTTATTCAAAGCTATGGCTATTCCCTTCCCAGCTTGGATGTACAACTATATCCTCTGATTTGAGCTTCCTTCTCCCTCAGGGCTGAAGAGAAGCATGGAAAGGGACAAGAAAGCTCTCACTTGACAGATACTGTTTCAAGTTAATGTTGCACTTTCTGGTACTAGCTGACATTAAGGTTGATGCCTTTTTCATGGAGGTGTTTTTATAGGTTCTTTAGAGGACCACCTTCCCCATTGCTAGTTATTTTACCTGCATTTCCTTGATGTAGGGGATAATGTCCTTGGAGGCTGGATAACAACTTTTCCTTTGGCCTCTGGCTCTCAATCTATTCCTCCCTTCTGTACATGCTGGTCCCTATTTCTCTGTTGGGACATCATCACCAAGATTTAACCAGACAGCATTCTAGTTCTCTCTCCTAGCATATTCTCAGGAAAAATGCCTTTGTGCTTTGCCATGACAGATTCCTGAGAGGGTAGCCTGTTGCAGACTGAATATTTGTGTCCCCCCAAAATTCATATGTTGAAACCTAACCCTCAGTGTGATGGCATTTGGAGATGGGGTCTTTGGGAAGTCAGTAGGTCAAGAGGGTGGAACCCTCCTGAGTGGGATTAGTGCCCTTACAAAAGAGACTTCAGAGAGCCCCCTTGCCTCTTCCACCAAAGATGGCTGTCTATGGACCACGCAGTGGAGTTTCCACCAGATACCAAATCTTCTGGCACCTTCACCTTGAACTTCCCAGCCTCCAGGACTGTGCAAAATATATTTCTGTTGTTTATAAGCTACACATTCAATGTACTTTGCTACAGCAGCCTAAATGGACTAAGACACTGGCCTAGCTCAGGACAGCAGCCACTTCATCTTTGCTCTGCTATCAGAATGATTAATTAGTCCCTGTTCCTTAGATTTCTCAGGGGCAGGTCATAAACTAGACCTCCATGTCTCACAAACTTCAGGGGACACATACTGCATAATTGGAGGAATTTCCGTAAAGACCCTCCATCTTTATTTAAGGTGAAGGAGGAATTACCCTTCACCTGCCCCTTTGGGGGACAGTGTAGGACTTATAGCACACCAAGATCTCTTTCTAAATACTTTCCCCTAATTTCCAACAATCTTTGCTTGGCCTATCTACTTTTATAAACTGGGATTCAGTGGTTGAAGGTAGTTTAAACTGAGACTAAAAGTTTTATTTTATTTTATTTTTTAATATTTTTTTATTTATTTCTAGGAGAGAGAGACAGCATGAGCAGGGGAGGGTCAGAGAGAGAGGGAGACACAGACTCTGAAATAGGATCCAGGCTCTGAGCTGGCAGCCAGCACAGAGCCCGATGCGGGGCTCGAACCCACGAACCGCGAGATCATGACCTAAGCGAAAGTCGGACGCTCGACCGACTAAGCCACCCAGGCGCCCCTAAAAGTTTTATTTTAATATCCTCCTTCAATAACCACCCCCCCTTCCCTAAAATACTTGTTCCTTGCTAGTAAACCAGTCTAACTAACACAAAGTCCATGATCATGATTGTGGGAAAAACATTCCAGAAAAATCATGGAAGAAGAGAGGCAGTGGGGAAAGATGGGGCCCTATAATAGTAAGGTTTCAGAAAAATAGATGTAAGTGTCCTGCTCACATTCATTGTCCAATTGGTGGCCCCAAAATTTTAATAGCCCCCAGGCAGAGTTGCTGCTGCTACCTGCATGGTTGGGAGAAATGCCTAAAACCAATGACAAATAAAACAACTATTTCCCATGACACCTGAAGTTGTCTACAGACCAAGGTTCAACCAGCAAGTTATTAAATATATAAATGTCATTACCGCCATCCCAAAGTTGGATTCAACAGCATAGCAATTTTCAACTAAAAGAAATCATCCAAATTTCTGATCAAGATAATGAGTTAAGTTCATCTGAGAAGATGAGTCTTCCTAATTTAAAAATACACAATAAAGAAATGTTGGGGAAAAACTTAAAAATTTTTAAACAGGCCAGAACAATAACTATTTTAAAAGTATGATACTTGTGCACAAACACATAGATCAGTGGAACAGAATAGGAAGACAGAGAGACCCAAACACACATGGGAAATTAAAATATAAAATCAGCATTTCAAATCAGTAAGGTTAAAATGAGTTATTTGAGAAGTGATGCTGGGACAACTAGAAAACCATCTGGCAAAAAGTAAAGTTGGTTTCCAGTTCATAGACACACACAAAAACCCAAAGATTTATATATTAAAATGAAGCCATAAATATTCTAGAAGAAATATTAAACTATTTATTTATAATCTCAGATATCATAAAATGAAAACCTAAGTTGGGCACTCCAAAACTACAAAAGATCTTCATAAATATACCCCACAAACAAAAGACTAATGACAAATAAGGAAGATATTTGTACTTTATATCACAGTTAAAGAGCTAATTTCCTTAAAATGTGAAAAGCTCCACCACACAGTAGAAAACTGGTCAAGGGATGCGAAGAGATGATTCACAGAAAAGTAAATCCAATACATTTCCTGAACTTATGAAAGATATTCGCTATCACTTATAATAAGAGAAGTGGAAATTAAAGCTACAAAAAGATACTGTTTTCTGCTTTTAAGACTGGCAAAGAACAAAAAGTTAGCTAACATCCCTGCTGTTGAAGATGTGGGAACATAGGCATCTTCATCCACATGGGGGAAATAAACTTGGTACAGGCTCTACGGAGGGCCATCCCTATCAAAATAAAAAAGAAATAAATGGGTTCTTTGGGCCAGCCATTCCTCCCTAGAGATACACAAAAATGAAATTATATAAATGCAAGGATATTCATTGCAGTAAAATGAGATATTTAAGAATATTCATTGTAGTATTATTTGTAACAGTAAAATACAGGACATAACCTAAATGCTTGTGAGTAGGGGACCGGTAAAAAAAACAACAACAACACAACAAAACAAAGTAGCCACTGCAAGAATGAAGACATCCTAATACGTACTGATCTTATAGATCTTATAGAATTTTCATACGAATGTCCATATGTAGCATGCTTTGTATATAGTGATATAAAATATTTCTGATGGAGGTTACATAAGAAATTAGTAATAGTGGTTTTTATCTAGAGAAAGTCTCTGATTGACTGAGGGGTAGACAGGGGTAGGAAGGTGTCCCTTTTATGCTCTACTTTTCTTCTGGGGAGGAAAACTTTTTGAAAGATTGGAACCCCAAGTCCAGGCTGATTTGGGCCAAATTTACACTACCATTGTGGTGCAGAAGCTCTGAGCTGAGAAACTTATGGAAATATTGGTCCAGATGTGGAACATCCCAACAGAGACCCAAAAAGGGTATGGAAATGACCCCAACAGGAACACCTCCACAACACAGGGCACCATCACTAGCTGGGCTCAGGACTGTCATCCAGCCACAGTGTTTTTTTGGGTCGTCAGATTTCTCCATTTATTCTATCTTATGACTTTCCTGTCTCTGGGTCTCTAATTTCTTTTTCTTTTTCTTTTTTTTTAAGCCACTATGCTAGCCACAGGGACAGACATGCGGCCTCACTGTTCCCAGATCTAGTCCTGGTAAGCTTCATCACGCCTGATTGCCATCCTAATCCATTCCTTCTCCATTTCCCATCTCATGTTTGTTCTTCAGTTCTTTCTATGATGTAGCATTTACTTGGGCACTTCTGTACAATAATTCTGCTTTTACAGCCTGATAAAGCTGTTTTAAACCTGGCTCGGATAAATTTCTTTTCTAATGTAACACTGTCCCAGGACCCCTTAGCCCCACCCTAGTGGAATTGCCCAACCTAGGTGTGGGAGCATGTAGATACCATCTACTGAATGAAGCTTCATTCTCTAAGACAGCTGGTCTCAGGGATTCTCCACTGCCCCCACACCCACCCCTCCACCCTTCCCAGTCTCACTGGTAATCCTGGGAGAGCTTCTCCTCTTCCTCTCTCCACTTTCACCCTTAGGTTCATAGCTACTTTGCTGATAGCAGACAGTAAAGAATGGTTCAGAGAGTGTGCATTTTTTTCTCCCACCACAGGGCTGCTCGCCAAAGATTTTCTACTGAATTTGAACTAGCTTTGTTGCAACTGACCTGACATTTTCTCTGAATTCTCTTTAACTGTATTGATGTCATTTTGTAAGGAGATGATGAGTTTAGCATGTTGTTCACTCCCTACTTTCTTGTACTCTTCCCAGTATTCCTTCTCACTGAGTTTCTCAAGAAATAGTTTCTCAGCATTATTTATTTGCATGCGCATATCTGTTGAAAGAAAATAAAGATACCATGTCATTTCTGTTGTTCTTGCAACCATTGTATGTTGCAATTGGATTTTATGATGTTAAGGTCCGATACTAAAATGTTGTTAATTCATAAATACAAGCTTTTAACTCCAGTTAAAGGAAATCTAAACTATTCAAACTATTGTTTATCCCCCATGATTCATAATCTAAGTAAAATTAAACTTCCAATTATAAAGGAGATGTGTGGTTTTAGGCCGTGACTGACAGCTATCATAGACAACCTATATGCCTAGGAACCCACAAGCTTAAATTATTCCCATGATAGCTTGAAAAGAGTCCTGTTTTGTACAATAGATTATGTTGCAAATACTGTCTATTAACAAATTGTGATTTTTCTGACCATTATATCTCTGGGAAAAGTGACTTTAACTTATATCTTTGTGCTGTCCTTGGCAACCATTTTTGTAAGTAAGTGGGCTGATTCCATCATCATTGTTTGGGCTTCCTTTGTGTGAAATGATACCATATGACAATAATATCAACGTCTTCCCCTGTGCCCACTTACTAAGGCCTTCAGAGTAAAAGATTAATTCTTTAGCACAATATGTGCAAATATTGAGCTATCTCAACTGTATAAACGTTCAGTACATCCTGATGCACTTGCTAAATGTGATATGCTACTCAATCTTTAGGCTGGGTCTCATGCTTCCAAGTATTTTGGAAACAAAAGCATGACAAAGAGCAAGGTACAATGAACTGGATGGCTATTTGTCTCAGTGCCACACACCATCTGGTTTGAGAGCTCCCCAAAAGGCAAGACCACATCTTATTCGTGTCTGTAAATTCAGCACTTGGCACAGAGTTTGGCAATTAGTTGGTGCTCAGTAAATGTTTCTGGAATGACTGAGGCACTCCCATCAGGCCAGAGGGATGTTCTTCAGTATAGAGGGCCAGAAGAACTCCAGACATGTCTTTTTTCAAAGATGTAAATAAGAAATTTTTAAATGCCTTAATAAAGGGCACTTGTTGTTGCCATTAAACAATTAATACTGTTATATCTTATCTGATGATCTGTCATCTTACTTGGTTAGATTGCTGCTATCTCAGCCCTGGGCCACATTCAGCCTTTGAGGGGAGGGCTGGTTAATGTCACTGAAGATTTTGAAAGACAGGTGGATGTCGTGGCTGTTGTTCTACTCCCCCAGAACCTAGCCCCCTTCCCTTCTCCTACCCCTTGTCAAATCAGTAGGCCAATTACCGTGGCCCCTTCTCCTGGCCATAAGGATTTGTCCAGGGATGAGCATATTTCTCAAGTGAGGCACATGCTCAGAGTCTTTCTACTGAAGCTGGTGTAAAACATGTCTCTTTTGTTTACATTTTGAGGTTAAATGGATGTAAGGTGAGAAATGTCCATGGTCAGAGTTCCAGCCTCCTGGGGACAACAGCCTCAAATAAAGGAGCCAACCCTCAGGGAAAAGACAGAGAGAGGGGGGCAGTAAGGGGTAGAGGAGTACAAGGGGGAGAGAAAGAGGCAGAAGCAGAGGAGATTAAAAAAATCTGAGATCTGACAGCATGTGAGGCTTTGGGTCCAGGTCAGTAGCAATCTGCCTTTTCTGTTTGGTTATATGAAAAAATTAACATCCTCTTTATGCTTAGGCTATAGTTTAGGTGACATTTTTATCCTTGAGACTAAAGGCTCCTAAGCAAAAGCTGGAAAAAAAGGGGTTACATCAGTCCTTCTCAAACCTTCATGTGCATAGGGATTCCCTAGGGTCTGCAGACTGTAACTCAGTAGGTGTGGCTGGGTCTGAGATTCTGCACTGCTCCCCACCCCAAACTGGTGTGCAAGTGACTACCTGGTACATGACAGAACCTCATCAGAAAGACTTTTTCAGAGTCACCTGCCCTCTCACTTTTCTGTCTCTCCTTCGGCCTCAATGGGCTCTTTTCTTTCTTGGACCACCTCCCATGCCCAGCACTCCTCTGTTGTGCCTGGTCACCCAGCTGGGCGCCAGTCTTGTATGACACACACGTTCCAGCACTCAGTCCAAACCATAAACAGGCACACCTCTGCTAGCTGGGCTCATTTCCCTGCAAAGGCAGTTTTGTGAGCGCATCTGAGTATCCTTTGTGGTCTCACTCCCACCTCAAGGGACTTATTAAATTACTACTTCCAAACATAAGCAGAACTCTCCTGGAGAGGAGCCCTCAAAAATACAGCATCCACCACCTCATGACATCACCATTGCCCATAAAAAGGCAGGTCAGAAAAGGCTTATGGGAACAGTTGTGGAGACCCCTAAAAATGAAGTTTTCTGATTGATGGTTTTTGGTCTTGGTAACTATTTCATTCAAAACCACAAATATTTACAGATGGTGTGCTTGCTCTGTGTCAAGTGCTTGGGTAAGTAGGCTCTTTGAAATACTTGGGACACATTCAGGAAAGTGAGTCCTTGTTTTGCCTCCCACTTCTAATACTGCTTCCTGAGAACACTCAACATCTCTTCCCCAAGTTTTCCAGCTTCCTAGCTAAGATGGTATTTATAGAGGTCCTGGCAAAAGACCTGGTTTGGAAATCTTAGCAGCAAGCTTAGGATAAAGGAATGAAAAAAAATTTTTTAAGACAGAAAGTGTGAGTGCCTGAGTCGGGGAGGGCAGAGGGAGAGGGAGAGAATCCTAAGCACGTTCCATGCTCAGTGTGGAGGCCGACTTAGGGGCTCAATCTCATGACCTGTAAGATCATGACCTGAGCTGAAATCAAGAGTCAGTTGCTCAACCCACTGAGCCACCCAGGTGTCCCAAAAATATTTTTTAATGCATGTGTCAAAACTATGTATGACTTCCTGCAGGACCATGGTATTTCCTAAGCCCATGGCAAGACGAAATCCTGGGTCTTTCATCTTCTACACCTAGCATCATTTCTATCCATGTCTTCTACCTTTCCCCCTGGTCAACTCTAATCCTGCTTTCCCCCAAGTGAGGGTCTTATCTCCCTTGGCAATATTGGTGTGGAGGGAAGCTTTAGGGTAATAAGCACCTTGTTCCCAAGTCTGAACTGAAGTTGAAGCCAAAGAAACTGCCAAACAAGAGAATTTCCACAAACAAAGAACAAATCCCCACTGTGAGGACTTCAGGGTAGTAGCTAACAGGGTGTTGTCTGGTGTCAAGAGCCAGGTGGTTTTCTTCTGTCTTTGGTTTTGATCAGTGCCCTTCCTCCTCCTCCTCACTAGGCCTCAGCAGCTCTGCCCACTTGTTTCCCTCTCCTGTCCATTTAGCCACACATGTGTGTGCTTGTGGTGTTAATGATCTCATATGAAACATGTTCATGGCATTCTGAACATATTAGGAGACAAAAGCATTAATGCATTCAAGAAATAATTTGAGGCAGCTTTATAATTCTCAAAGTTCCTAAGTCACCTTTCAAGTTTTCTTCCTGGTCTCTTTCAAACTTCCATTTTTCCTTCATTGCTTCTTCAACATCTTCCCTTGTTACAACTGGTGATCCCTCCAACTTCTCTTCACTCAGCTCCTTTAGTAGGTTCCGTATGTGCCAAGTCTGTTCATCCTTCAAGTGTCTGTTCTGTCATGACAATCAACAGTACATAACAGCATCTGCTCAAGTATTTACATTGATTTGCCTCAACACAGAGTTGCATACTGAGGCTTGCAAAGTGAGAAAAAAACATTTAATGAAGTAAGTTTATACAATATCTCTAAGATATTATAGAATATGGAAGACTCAAAATAAAATTAAATCCATCAACATAGTAACTATTGGGTAGAAAGTTACATTTAAAACCCAGTCTATCACCCTATTATAGGATCAGTGAACATTAAAGTTAGACCTTTAAGGCCAATTTCTTCAATCTCCCACTAATACCGTTCTTCTCTAGTGATTGTCATTCATTTAGTCAGTATTTATGGAGCATCTACCATGTGCCAAGCAGTCTTCCAGACACTAGGAGTAAATCAGCGACCACTATGTACAAAATACAGTAGCGCCTTCACCTGGCCACTGGACTTATCCAGGGTGAGCATGTGTCACAAGGGAGGCACATGCTCAGAGTCCATCCCTGGAAATACTTTCACTGAAACTGACAGAAAACATGTCTTTTGGTCTCCATTTTGAGGTTAAAAGGATGTAAGGTGAGAGGTGTCCATGGTCAGAGTTCTGGCTTCATGGGGACAACAGATTCAGAAAAAAAGATGCTTTGGTTGCAAAGGTAATAATTTAACCACAACTAGCCTAAGCAGAAAGAGGATTTTAAATCTGCTCTCCCCCTCCTTCTCTCTCATTCCCTCTCCTCTTCTACTTCCCTATTTCCCCCTTATCACTCTTTTTTCTCTCTTCCCCCTGAAAATTGACTCCTTTGTAAAATGGTACAGCTACTCTGTTTAAAAGGATGTCAATTTCTTATAAAACTAAACATTTGCTTATCATTACAGCTCAGCAACTCAGCTCTAGGGCATTTATCTCAGAAAAATGAAAGCTTATATTCACATGAATATAATGCTTACAAAAGCTGTATTTGTCATAGCCAAATACTGGAAACAACTCACATCTTTCAATAGGTAAATGGTTGAATAAATTGTGGTATATTCATATCATGAAATAAAAATGAATAAAAGGAGCCAACTAATTATACATGCAGCAAACTGAATCTCCAGAGAATTCTGCTGAATGAAAAAAGCCAATCTTCAAAGATTACTTACTACATGATTCCATTTATATAACATTCTTAGAATTAAAAAATTATAAATGTGGAGAACAGATTAATGGTTGCCAGGAGTTAATGAAGAGGTGGAATTGGGAGTGAGTGGCTATAAAAGGACAATATGAGAGACACTTGTGTTAATGGAAATGTTCTGTATCTTGACTGTATCAATGTCAATATTGTTAATGTTAATGTCCCAACTGTGATGATATTGTACTATAGTTCTGTACTATATACAGGAACTATAGTTCCTATACTATAATTATAGGAAACCAGGTATGGGTACACAGGATCTCTCTGTACTATTTTTTAAATAACTGCATGCTAATCTATAATTATTTCAAAAAGTTTAATTTAAAAAATGAAGGTCAAGCAATATTAGCCACTTATAAACAATTTATTGTTCTTTACTCAGTTCTCACATACTCAATTTTCTTAAATGAAATAGATTCATGTTTTGTTTTCTTATACATAAATTGAATTACTTTGGCTCAACATGAATTATTTGAAAATGAAATTTTGTAGAAACTTGAATAATAACAATGGAAATATCCCTCGCCAAAGGGATTGTACTGCTAATACTTTTTTTTTTTTCCAAATATGGACTTTTCCACTTATTTTTGTAGAAATGGAAAATTCCTTTATCAAGTATAGTCTGAATATGAAATAAAACTTTATCTGATTTTGTTTATATTAGCTCATTTTATTAAGGCAATAATCACTTCAAAATCAATTCCAGCTCAAAAATAGGCAAAAAATATCCAAAGACAGTGATCATTTAAAAACCATTACATATAATTCATAAATGTGTAATCAATCAATACATTTTCCTTTTACTTTCCATACTTAATACTTGTCAAAGTGAATCCAGTTCTCTTAGATCAAATTTTTAACACAATGACTATTCTTTCCAAATATATGATATTTTTATTTATAAATTAAAATAGTATCACATGTCCTAAAGCTGTATTTGAATGTTACATAAACATGACTAAATCATATTTGGCATTATATGCAAATTTAATAACATCTATATTAAACTCCCAAAATCCCATAATGAATTTCAAGTGTATGGGAAATGTATCTGGCAACATGTTACAAAATTTGCTATATCTGAAAAATTATTTTGAGTGATATACTGAAATACAATTTAGTTAGCTATATTCACCAATGTGTTAAAAAAAAAAAGACATTTATCCTACAAAGCAAAACATTATCACACTATAAAATAGAAGGAAGGAGATTAAATAAATAAAAAGAACTGATTTTGTTTTGTTATAAAGCCATCTTATGGGCTTTGCCTTTTTTAACTTTTTAAGATTTGCAAGAATAAGAACAGAAGTTGCCAGAATAGTACACAGGGCTTCACCTTACTATTTACCCTGCTTCCCCATTGATGACATCATACATAACCACAGCACCTTATCAAAACGGAGAAACTGACATTTGTACAATGCTATTAAGTAAATTAGAGAATTTAATTTGGAATTCACCAGTTTTTACATGTGTTCATTTTACTTGTTTTTAGTGGATAAGTATTATGAAAATTTGTCACATATACAGATGAGAATTATCACCATATAGATGATATTTGAGGCCATAGTGTTAAGTAAGGTCTTTAGATTTAAAGGGAAGAGTTGGGATCAGAACCCTGGAAAATACCTAATTAAGGGATGGGTCCAGGAAAAGAGCAATGAATGAAAAACAAGAAATGGTTGGAGAATAATGGTTGGAGAATGATGTCCTAGAGCCAAAGGAAGAGAGAATTTCAAGATGACAGGGCTGACTGCTGAAGGCACGAGGGATAAATTAAAGACTAAAAAGAGGCATTTGACCTGGCTAATTGGTCATTAATAACTTCTGTCCTAGCAGGTGTGGTGGAATAGCAGGAGTGAAAGGACAAATTGGAGGTAAGGAAGTGGACAGAGTGAACTATGACATGTGTAATGACATGAGTGGAGCAATGAATGCAAACAGAGAGAAAGAAAGATAATCAATGAAGTGACAGTCCAAACAAAACTCACACAAAGGAAGAGATGATGGGGAGGAAGGATTTCTAAATTTGACCTAACAGAAGAGAAAAAGTATGTCTTGTTAATAAGTCATATTTAATTTAGCAAGTAAATATCTGTGACCTCAAAAATGTTTCCTTCCATTGGCATTAGTGTGAATCACCTCAACAAATATTTATTGAACACCAACTTATGCTGGGCCCTTCCAGAGAAAAAAAAGGTAAGTAAGATTTGATTGCTGCTGCCTAAAGAACTTTCAATTCAATAATGGAGATACATTTGTATGGAGCATTCCAGCTTAGTTTGGGGGAACGAAAAGGAGCTGGCCAAAAGAAGAGCATTCCAGAGGATGAAACAGCCTGCAGAAAGGTACAATAATGAACAAGACTGGGTTTTCCAAGATTTAAAAGAAGCAGTGGTGGAAAAACTGGAGACAAGGTTGGAGAGGTAAGCAGAGGTCAGATCTCGTAGGGGCTCAAAGACGTTAGTACAGAGAGTGGATTTAATTTTTTGTACCAAAGAAAGCTACTGTAAGGTTTTAAGCACTGAAAGGTTTACAATATTTAAAGGGTTGCACTGTGGAAAATGTACTGAATAGAAGAAGGATGGATAAGAGTTGGTGGTGACCTAAATTGGGGCAGTAGCAGCATAAATGGAAAGAAATAGATACATAGCTGGAGCTGGAGTCTGCCTTTCCATGTTCGTCACTGCTGGGTCTACATGACCCCAGAATATGTAGGCCTATCCCATCCTCATGAAAATAAGACTTTTGTTTCTGGCTTCAAATTAGGGGCTTTGGGAAAGTGATTCTCCTCAGTCCTGATCAGTTGTCATTTCTACAACCAAATGGAAGTCCCAAAGCTGACCTAAGAGTCCCAGTGCTGACCACTGGGAGGATGTGCATTGGCCCCTAGTGGCAGCTTACTCATCTAACGTGCTATGGATCTCATCATGTGGAACCTGCATCCAAGCACCTAGACCAAGCATCCCCTTTCCATTCTTACCCATAGACCTGAGTTTCTCATAAACAGGCTTTAGTAACTGATCCTTGAGAATCACAATAATGTCAGGGTCACAGTTAAATCACCACCATGGCATGTCTAGCCCCCAAAATATTGCTGAATGAATGACTAAATTAGCCCTATTTAGAAGACAGGAATCCCCATGTTATAGGAGGGAAACTGAGGCTCACATCAGTTTTGGCCAAATGATACAGTTTTGGCAGTAAGTTGTACAGTCAGGATGCAAACTCAGGTCTCTGACCCTAGATTCCATAAAAACTTGTAGATATAGTCATTTTAGACAAAAGCCAAATAAAACATCTAACTGTGGAAGTTTTAGAGTCCATATAAATATTTTAATAGGGAATAGTCTCAGTATTTCCTTATCCCCTTAAGGGAAAAGTTGTGTTAATTGTCACTTACTCATATACAGCATGACTTGGATATTCATTTCAATCTGATTTTATAAAAACAACATATCATCTTAAACATTAGTCATTTTAACAACTGAGATTATACTTTTCAAATAATATTTACATATGCATATCCTGAAAATCTAAGAGCAAAAAGATAGAGAAATTAAAAACAGAAAGCCAATGTTTTATCATTTGGCTAAATAAGAAACTAAAAGATAAATGTTTCCAGAGCCTTAAATTTTTGAACACAAGATTCAGTGTCATCATGATCTAAATAACACAGCTCAAGCTGACTTCCTTTGACACTGTAATTAATATAATAGGAACAGCAGTACCCTTTTGCCTTATATGTACAAAAACCTTAGATTGTAAATTAATCATTTCCAAGCACCAACGAAGGTACTTTCCTAGTGTACATGTCATGATAATTCACAATTTTTAAAGCATTTGTGTAAATGTTTAATAAATAGATATAAGCTTTAAATGTTATACTCACTCTTTCATGATACTTTTGGTTCTTTTCTCTAAGTCTCTTTATTTGAGCCATAAATCGTTCTACTGCGTTTTCCTTTATTTGACAGCTGATAATAACAAAGAAAAGATGTTTTACAATTATTCATCTTGGAGAATTAATGGGACAAGTTTAAAATTTTAAACTAAATTATTTGAATTGAAATAAAGTATTGGATGCATTATAAAAACCCATGTAGGCATCAGAAATCTTCTCAAGTGAATTTTTGTGTGTGTGTTTCTGAGTACATTTTCCTCAGTAAAATATATATTAGAGAGATAACTTCAAGGTTTTTTTCCCCTAAATCAACCCCCATTTGTGTTTCGTAGTCATAATTTTTATACTTTCTAACTATCTATAAATTATTCAGCTTAAAGGGAACCTAGGAAAGGGAACACAGGAAACATGCTTTCTAGAAATCTAAATATTTCAAACAAAAATGACAAAACAAAGGCTTTATAGGGCAGGCACATCTTCTTGAAAGAGGAAGATATACTAGGCATATCTCTGGTTCAAGTTCATTAGTAAACCATCTCTTCTATAAATCTCTTCTTGACGCAAACACATTTCTTTAATACCCAACAAGTATTTGTTTAGCATCTGCCACGTACAAAGGAGAGACAGAAAGTGCAAAAAGACTTTGTGTAGGCCATCTGATAGCTCTTTGAAGTGAGTAGATTTCTATTATCCAGTACATCTTGTAACTTTAAATCTGAGACCAAAATAACAAAATGGAAATAACTTTATGTAAACACCTTTCCTCAATTAAAACAAAACAAAACAAAACAAAATATATAGCACCTCTGTGGTGTAGTGAACAGAGATGGTGTTAAAGATTGAGAAACTCTTGTTTTCAATCTTGTCCTTGTATCTTCTTACCTATAGATCTCAGACAAGTCACTTCTCTGAGTATCAATTTCCAAGCTATCAGTGGTGACAACAATACCTAGCTCTAATCCTATAAAGATTAAGGTAAGAAATTGTATGTGAATGTTTCTAGCATAAAGTAAGTGCTTAGTAAATTTCAGTTGAAATGAATCTTATATCTTCAGCCCTTCCTCCAAAATACTACTTATATTTGTGGCATTGTGTATTTAGTAGAGAGAAAAATAAGGCTCCTTCTTTCTCAGTGATGAGAAAATACAACATAAAAACAAAACAAGCAATTTTTTTAGTGGCAAAAGTGCTCTGTTTGGATACTATGAAACTTGGATTTCAGGCTTCTCCACTAACTGCCTAAGGACTCTTAACCTAGTTAGGCCTTGTCTTATTCTTCTGTATGTAAAAGAATTGAAGGGGATGAGCTCTATAGTTTTTCATTTCAAACATTATGCAATTTACATTGTTCATTGTTCCCTTTATGCATTCACAAATACAAGATTTAATGAGCTGCTGCTGTGTGCCCAGTATTGTTTATGGCATTATGGAGATAGTGTTGAACAAGACCTCTGTGATCCTTGCCCTCAAGGAGTTTCCATTTTATTAGACAATAAAGAAGTACACACACAATCATATTATTTATCCATTGTTATGGGGGAAATAACAGGCTCTGACAAATACAGCAAATGGAAGAGGCTACTACTCTACACAGGGCGGTTTCCACACAATAATAAGAAATAAGGCTATAGGTAGGTCTATACTACCTTTTTACTTCTCACCTAATGCTTAGGTATACAAAAATTTTGAAGGAGTGCCTTGTCTATTTCCCATTTTAAGGAGAAAAATATTGTAAATGAGAATTATCTGAAAAAACCCTATGCAAATGTTCACACATTATGCAATTCCTGCAATTATAAATATGGTAACCTAACTCAGTATGGGTGAAGCAGGCAAATGAATCTTAAGAATGTGATCTCCATTTGTTGAGATGGAGTCTTTGGATGGTCTAGTTTATAGGCTTACTCTTGGCTTCAGCTGAGAGCCTTCCTTGGTGATGACTGAGTATGCAAAGATGGGTCCAGAGATTATATCCTGGCCAACCCCAGATACTGCATGGCACACACTTACATTAAAAAAAATTCTCCTTTTTTTTTTTTAATTCAAAGTTAATTGCACATCCTGTAATTTTATTTGCTATATCTGGCAACCCTACACTTCAGCCTACCACCCCTCTGCTCAGAGCAGTTAGGAACAAATGACCTAGGGCTCTCTGTCTTCTCTTCCTTCTGCAGTGAGCAGTTCAGCAAGACCTAAATGGCACCAGCAGGCCTCAGGGTGATTCTGAGATGCCCTAAAGGTTTTGGTGGCTTCACTGGCTCAGTTGTGGCTCACCTGGTAGTCACAGGTCTAAGTTTCTGAGTCTTTCCTTGGAATTTACTTCAACCTCTTTAGGTCTCACGAAGATGAAACTGAACGTCAGAACTCAACACTCTTAGCCACTGTGGGAATTCAAACTTCCCTGTTCTCTATATACTCTTTCCTTTTCATAACTTTCTCAGATGCCATAGTAGCCTACATGTCACACTAAATGCTGAAGCCAAGTGGGACAATAAACCAATGAGATAATATATATTAAAGTCATTTGGAAAGGATACACACTAGTCTAAAGCACAGTGATATGAAATGGTTAGTAATACAACATGTCACCTTTCCCCTTCCCTCTCTGTATTATTAAAATATTATTGGGGGGGAGGGGCAAGATGGAGGAGAAGTAGGGAGCTCCGTACCTGCACTCGCGCCCAAGCATCACACGGAAAAGATCTGAAGCCATAGGAAACCGTACCACACCCAAGAGATTGGGAGAGAAAGGACGCAGATTCCACTGAGAAAGCCTTCTAACGGCTACCTCAAGAAACAAGCCATAGTACACAAGGTTGAGAGTCCCAAATATCACTACGAATAGGAAAATAAAATAACCAAGGTCTCAACAAGAGATACCGTTCAAAAACACTCTCTGAAAGGATAGGCCCTGGACAGTCAAAGAGTCTTCTTGGATATAGCAGCGCTCATAGATACAGAGAGCATAACAGGTCTTTAAAACCAGCAAGAGCCGGAAAGCTAACTAAAATGACTAAACGAAAGAGCTCTGCTCCAAAGAAACTCCAAGAAGAAATGACAGCTAACGAACTGCTCAAAACAGATATCAGCAGCATAACTGAACAAGATTTTAGAATAATAATGGTAAAATTAATAGCTGGGCTTGAAAAAAAAATATTATTAATGTGTCAACTTTCTCCCTCCGTGCAATTTCACAAAGTTCTCAGAAGGAAAACAAATGAATCTGAACTTTAAAAAATGTTATACTTTTGTCAAATTTTTAACCTATAATCATATCCATACCTCTTTCTAAATCTATTCATACATTGTAGAATACTGGGGGAAAACAAGTATAAAGGAAAAAATAAAAACCACCATTACTTATAAGTGGTGGTCACTTTATAGATTGGGCATTGGCAGTCTCAGCTCTTCACAGTCATAGAGGTTTATGACCTTATTTTCTTGGGATAGATTTTAAAAAATGTTCAGTTGTTAAGAAATCATCAATTACCTACTATGTGCTCCCAGCAATCTGTTTGAAAATGATATTATATAAGAGAGAAGGAAGAATCTTCCAGGGGACCCTTGGACAATCCCTTCTCAGACAGTGAGGTGGGTGTTTTGGCTAATTTGTCATGTGACAAAAGTTCTGTTACCTGGTAACACCTGGAATGAGTCAAGTGTCATTAGCAGAGTATAGTACAGTCAGGCCTTGACTGTTTCAGTCCATGAGATTGTTTATTTAGTCTTAAAGCAGAGAACAAAAGCATGAGATGTGCAGTTTATATAGTGCACTAGATCATGAGAATTTTTAAATGTTTGTCTTTTTTAAACCTCTGTTAAAAAAGAGAGATACTGGCCTCTGATTGTCCTAGAAGGGAGTGAAACAGCTGTATTTGGATGTCATCACCGTAAACCATGGGAGCAAATTAGAGAGCAGGTTGTATTCACAGAGCCTGACTTTTTGTCCACCTCTCTGAAGATAAGGGAAGTTTTCAGTTATGTTGTCAAATGAGTGTGGGTAGTTTCTGGTTATAACTTAATGTTACCTCAAGTAGAAAATAAAAGGGAATTTTGTTAAAAGTCCCTTCTCATGGGTGTTTCTCTCTGAGTGTTCTGACCCTTCTACTCAGTGCCCTCCAAAAAGAACAGACAGGAGAAGGAGATGGATTTTCTCTGAATGTTGTTAAAAACAAATAGTTACCAGCATTCCAGGCTCCTCACTTTCAGCCTTGTTCCCCTCCAATAGTTTCCAATTCCTGAATCCCAAATATTCCACTGGGCTCAGCTTATCTGACCCTTACTTATACCACTAGACCGGTGTCACTCTGCCTTCTCTCAGCTCCTGGACTGTGAAACCTCTCCCTCTCTACAGCGTCTTTTCCATAAGCTTTTCTCTCCTTCATTATATCTCTCCATAACACCTGTTCCTCTTCCAGACATCAGCTCCAATGTCACTTCCTCAACAAGCTTGGAGGAAGGTCACTCCCTGACCCCTCTGACCATATCAGGTCATTTAGTTAAACTGTTACATAGGACCCTACACTTTTCTTTCATAATGTCTTAATTGTAGCTATGCAATTATTTTTTAAAAAAGTTTGAGTTTGTCTAATGTCCGCCTCCCATGCCTCATCAGGGCAGGGGCCAGGTGGTCTGTTTGCTATTGTCCTCTAGCACTTGCCTTGGACTTGGTACACATTCAAGTACTGGTTCAGTAAATGCATGAAGTATGCTTTTTTAAAAATTTTAACTCCAGTATAGTTAATAAAATGTTATATTAGTCTCACATGTACAATAATATCAATGCAACAATTCTATACATCACTCATTGCTCATCATGATAATTGTACTTTTAATCCTCAACACCTATTTCACCCACCCCCATACCAACCTCCCCTCTGGTAACCATCAGTTTCTTCTGTATAGTTAAGAGCCTGTTTTTGGCTCCTCTCTCTCTCTCTAGTTATTCATTTGTTTTATTTCTTAAATTCCATGTATGAGTGAAATCATACGGTATTTGTCTTTCTCTGACTGACATTTCACTTAGCTTTGTTCTCTGTAGATACATCCATGTTGTTGCAAATGGCAAGATTTCATTTTTATGACTAAATAATATTCCATTGTGTATGTATATATGTGTGTATACACACACACACACACACACACACACACACACATAATTGATCTATGTGCCTATTTTTGTGCCAGTACCATACTGTTTTGATTATTACAGCTTTGTAGTATATCTTGAAATCTGGGATTGTGATACCTCCACTTTTGTTCTTCTTTTTCAAGATTTCTTTGGCTATTCAGGGTTGTTTGTAGTCCTAAACAAATTTTAGGATTATTTGTTCTAGTTCTGTTGGTATTTTGATAGGGATTGCATTAAATGTGTGGAATGCTTTAGGTAGTATGGACATTTTAACAATATCTGTTCTTCCAATCCATGAGCATGGAATACCTTTCTATTTGTTAGTGTCATCTGCAATTTCTTTCATCAAGGTTTTATAGTTTTCAGAGTACAGGTCTTTTCCCTCCTTGGTTAAGTTTATTCCTAGCTATTTTATTCTTTTTGGTTCAATTGTAAATGAGATTTTTTTCCCCTTAATTTCTCTTCTGCAACTTCATTATTAGTAATAGAAATGCAATTGATTTCTGTATTCTTATTTTGTATCCTGCGACCTCACTGAATAAATTGATCAGTTCTAGTAGTTTTTTGGTGGGGTCTTTAGGGTTTTCTACATATAGTATCATGTCATCTGCAAATAGTGAGAGTTTTACTTCTTCCTTACCAATGTAGATAACTTTGATGTTTTTCTTAGCTGATTGCTGTGGCTAGGACTATTTTGAATAAAAGTGGGGAGAGTGTACATCTTTTTCTTATTCCTGACCTTAGGGGAAAAGCTCTCAGTTTTGCATCACTGACTATGATGTTCACTGTGTGGCTTTCATATGTGGCCTTTGTTATGTTGAGCTATGCTCTTTCTAAACCTACCTTGTTGAGGATTATGAAGTCCATTCTTATATGGAAAAGAATGAAATTAATTCATTCACTCTCTTAAGAATTACCATTAAAACACCTACTCTGTGCCAAAAGCTAGGGTTCAAAATCTTTCCAGGGGTTTACTATCTATGAAAATATAAATATCTAATAGGTATTACCTCTAGTTTTAGCTCTAGCTCTTGGGAGTGAGACATTAAGAAATATTTTTATTAAAAATAATTCTATCATTTGGATTTGATCTGTAGCCACTGGAGAAGTACACTAATTATTCTATATTATATTTTAAGAGGCAAACCAGCCAGCTGTTATATACAAAGTGTATACACGGTATGTGGGAGAGTGACCAATAATACAATGGAGGGAGAGAGAGAGAGATCCAAAACCACATTAATGAGTACAGTTTCACAGCTACTGCTTGGAATATGTTACAGTCAAAGTTTCAAAAACTTAAAAAAAATCTGCACATAGCACAAGAGTGCAATTATGCTTCTAATCTACCTCCAGTCCAGCTCTCTTGACAGCTTTTGAGTGCATCAATCACTGTCCATTTGGAATTATATGAATTTTAACAATGATTTCCATTTACATATGGGGACATTTGGATTTCATACTCTAAGCTTACTGATAGTCTAGAAGTGCTTCACTGGTAGGCAGTTGGACTTCTTTGGGTGGCCCACTTTGACTATCCTTTTTATTTGCTTTCTCTGTGCTGTCCATTGTGTTGCTTTGTCAGTAAAACGTATGCCTGTTTAGAAAAGAAATAGGAAAAGCAAATAAATTCTGTCTTTGCCCCTCTACTTGTGTTTACTGAAGATAAGGAACTGCCGGCACTTAATTTAAAACTGTTTTTTCCATTCAGGCTTCCATGTCCCCTGACCTATCATCCACTGCAGTGCTGGGACATCAGTGAATCAATGGATTCTTGGGTCTACTAAGTTCCATGTTTGGACCAGGTACAGCATTTCCCCATCCGAAACTTTGTCTTTTCTTTTTTAAAGTTTATTTATTTTGCAAGATATAGAGCACATGCCTGCACATGTGCAGTGGGGAAGGGGGAGGAGCAAGGGGAGGGGGAGGGGTAGAGAGAGAATCCAAAGCAGGCTCCATGGCGTCAGTGTAGAGCCTACAGTGGGGCTTCATCCCAGGAACTGAACTGTTGAGATCATGACCTGAACTGAAATGAAGAGTCTGCTGCTCAACCAACTGAGCCACCTAGGCGCCCTTCCCTACCCAAACTTTCTAAGACATTCATCCCTCTTATGTTATCCATTTACATCTCTTGTCCCTATCAAGCTTTTCTAAGAACAAGGACTAAACTTTTCCCGTCATTTTATTTCTCCACAGTGTTACTGCATATAATAGCAGCTCAGGAAGTCTGTTAATTTTTTTAAATAAGACAAAACAAAAAGCACAATTTTCTATGAGCTAGAATCCAGAGAAACTAGAATCTAAAAGAATTAGGTATGGCCAGGGTTCTTAGAAAGAGCAAAAAAAAAGCACACATTCAAATGTTTTTTTAAATGGCTAACAGATTTACAAATGCAAAACAGTAATAATAATGTATTATTTAGCAGTCATTGCTCATCAGCAATTAATTGCTTTTTATCTAATAATAAAAATTATCAAAAACTCTATTTTAAAAGTGAAAAAAAAATCATGTCCACTGTTCAAAGATTTTTATAGTGAACAGGAATAAGTTGATGGATTTTGTATAGGTACTAAAGTACTTCTTTTCAGATTATAATCTTCCTTAACAGATTTTTATCTTTTAATTTCCATTAATTAAAAAAAATGAGTGCCTAAGCTTCAATCAAAGTAGTAGTAGTTGGGTATGGTAGAAAGAATTTAACTTTTATAATTATTTATTTAGATGGCTGGAAGGTCCATGTGTGTGGGAATGATGTAATTCTTATGATTACTGTATTTCCCCACCTAGCACAAGTAGATGCACAGTAAGTCCTTGTCAAAGGAAAAAATGGATGGATGAATCAGGCAGACATGTTTTAATCCTATAATCACCACCTATTATCTACGTGACCTTGAGTAGGTTACTTAATCTTTTTGAGCTTCAGTTTCATCATCTGTAAATTAAGAGCAAAAATCGTACTCTAAAAGCTGTTGTAAGGATTAAATAAGCTAATATTTAAAGCACTTAGCATAGTGGGTGACATACAGAAAGAGCTTAGTTAAAAGTATTAAACCCTTTTAGTTAAAGCTCCAGATCACGCTTCTTCAAATTCCAGGTAACTGAAGCAGAGGACATCTGCCCAATGCCAAGTATGATGATGTGTGGAAAAACTAATCCACATAGTGTGCTATTGTCAACCTTCATCATTGATTTGGGTCACTGACTTGGGAATCTACATAGATCACTGAGATCCACAGTGGAAAATGTCTCTGAAATGAAACACTTTTTCCTAGACCTGCTGCTTTCACACCAAGACCTCCAGAGAGGCTCCGCCTTTGTGTCTGAGACTTTTCTTTTCCAGCCAAGCGTGCTCATCTCCACATTCTAACAGATTTATGTGTGAATGCAAACATACTATAATACTTTCCAACTGAAAAGCACACAGGTGACACAATGAAAAGATTTAACACATTAAGACAGAGTAGGTATCTTCTCAGATATGAAAGTATTGAGAATAATTTCATACACTACACACTAAAATGTGTCATTCTACCATCACAGTCACAGAAACTGATAAATTGAGTAAAAATTGCTTTCTTTTGTTTTAGATGCTGAGTTGAATTTTTATATTATTTTCTATTTTAGAATTAGCCATTTTAACTTGACTATTGCACACAAAGATAACATGCTGACAAGTGTTTCATTTTATAACAATAACTTACACTTTAACTGTGATTTTTTTACTATAAATATTTTATTTAAAAGTTAAAACAAGTGTTAACTTTGATCTCTAGTTTTATTTCTGAGTCATATGGAAGAGATCAAGTGTTAGAGTTTCCATCTACAATACCCATCTGGTGCTGTAGGAAAAATGACCTCATCTTGCTCATTACCTCAGTTACCTGGCTCTTATGTTTTCAGCTCTCTGACTAAAGTATTATTAGTTAATACTAATAATACTGCAGCTCATGGCAGAGCACTTTAATAAACTATGAGTGAAAATGTGGATCCATTAAGCACAAATGATTTATGCATAAACTATATTAATTCATTACTTTATCTACTTTCCAGAAAATCAGTAAGCATTGACTGGCCTCTTAACAGATGCAGTTTTTGCAATGAGCTAATGACATTACTTCAGAATGTCCTTCTACATTTGATAATGTCCTACAAACAATGGGGGTTTTCATAAGCATTTACAAGGCTTTACAGTTCCTGAGCACGGAGAGGATTTCTATCTCAGCAAAGGATGAGGACCCTAGAAAAATATTCACACGGTAATGTAGGTTATCTTCCAGGAAGGTTTCATGAAGAATAATTCCTGACAGATGGACACCTAATTGATTTGTCAATAACTGCAAACCTAGATCTGGTGCCTCCTCTGTGCATGGCATGTTACCTGGTCCTTAATTATAACATATGGAAAAGGCAAGATCTCTACTCAGACAGATAGGAAGAAAGATGCATTCTCTAGCAGAATTTTCAGAAAATAATGAGCAACTTTAAAAGGCTAGCAAGAGTGTGCTGGTAATGAATGTTCTGGAGATCTTTGCTCACAGTGTGACCTGTTGTACTGTTTTTCCTCTCTCAACGCTCTTTGGGCATTCCATAACATATGTCATGGAGTGATGGCAGGCGAGGAAGCTGGGTTTGAAAGACTCCGGTCTCCAGCCTTTTAAGAACTTACTCCATAATCACTTTCTATCAGAAAGTATTTCAAAACATATTCCTCAAATGCTTCTCAGTGGAAAGGAAGAAGTCTGTTTAGAAAAAATGGACATATAATAGCCATCTTATTCAAATGTACTGTTATCCCATAATGCTTTACTTGACTCTGCAAAATTACCCCCCAAAAACAAAGACTGCATTCTCAGGATCCTGGCTCAATATTGAGAAAGTTCCTAATGATTTTTTTCATGACTTTGTGGAGCCATAAATATCCAGAAACCTCCTAATGACTCCAATTTTGTGGAGGCTGGGACAGATGGCAGTTCTGCCCTAATACCTTTCTGGACATGTGGAATGGATTCCGATGTTTGTTAGCTAATGTTTTATATAAATGTAGATTAGGAAGATATTTACTTAATAGCATTAGTAACAGCAAAAGTTCTGAATAAGATTACATCAGAGATTGAGGAGATGATTTAGTCAAAAGATCTCTAAATGGGTGTTGGAAGTCTCAAATTCTATCTCTAGTACGCTCTGCCATTAAGTAGCTATAAATGTGTATGTTTAATAACAATAATAATAATGTAGCAATATCTCACTATAGTGTTAATTACAATATGTATTTGAAAGCATTCATGGCATTCATCCTCAACAAAATGTAATTCCTTTAATACTAAATAACAACTAACCACTTCAAGAAATCATCTTTGGGTTTTCAAAAATATATGTTGATACATAGGTCGGCATCTCCCATGGACACAAATTAGATGTTCAATAAATGTCTAATTCGAATGACTGACCTGAAAATAATGTTTACTCACTTTCTTTACCAATGGCCTTATTTATTTGCTTATAATGTTGTATGTACCCTGAATTTAGAAAGTAAATCACTTTTAAATTCAAATTCTCACTTTCGCTAGAACATATTGTTAATACAATATTTAAATATTTTAGAAATGCTTTTCAGTGTATGTTAGGGGTGCCTGGGAGGCTAAGATGGTTGAGCATATGACTCTTGATTTCAGCTCAGGTCATGATTTCACAGTTTGTGGAACTGAGTCCCACATCACTTGAAATTCTCTCTCCCTCTCTTTCTGGCTCTCTCCCACTTGAGCTCTAGGTCTCTCTCAAAATAAATAAATAAATAAACATTAAAAAAAAAGGAAATTCTCTTCAGCATATGTTATAAAGCCCTGAATTCATTTAAAGCCTTTTAGTAGTGGTAATATTACCTAAAAGTTAGCTTAAAACAAATTCAGTCCTTTTTTTTTTTTTTTGTATAGATTATGCATATACTTCCCCAAACAGCTTCAAAATGTAAAACACAGCCAATCTGGAGAATGTTAAACAACTATATATTCAAATCAAGGTATTTAAAAATATCTGGATAAATAACACTTTCAACATTCACGTGCCTAATTGGTGATGTGCATTACATTACCATGTATTTTCTTTACCAGTACAAATTCTTTGGGCATTTCTGAACTGCAGTTCCCAAATTACACTGGATTCTGGGCTTCAAAACTGGTCTATCTCCTGATCCAGAATTGCTAATAACAAATAGTTTGAAAAGCACTGTATTATACTAATTTCTCTAGCAACCAGCACTACTATATTTTCCCCAAATCCCACTGTCCTTCAAGCTTAGAAATGTCAAAAAATAAAAGAAACGTAAAAAAGAACGTTGTGAGGATAACAGAAATACATGTAGTATTTTCAAACTCTGATGGTGGAGGAGAACCAAATGGCTTCTATTTTCAGAGTGCAGTGGTGAATACAAGAGATCTACTGGAGCCAGGTCTTGGGGTGACAGTAAGGAAATCCATAAGCAATGGTCACCCACACAGTGATAAATACCCAGGCTTATTATTTTCCTTCTCTGCCTTAACAGAAATATATATGTGTCTATATATTTTTTCCTTCAGTGGGACATCTGCCACTCCCCAACCACCACCTCAACTCTCTCTTGCCCTGCAGAGAATTAGTCATGGAATAAGGAGGGTAGTGAAGAAAGAAGGTACTCTACAAATCTAACAAATAAAAGAAAGAAACCTAGTGTCCTGTTCAGAAGGATGTTGCAGCTTCCAGGGCAAGGAGCTGAAGCCAATCTATGGACTGTGGGGGGAAGGGGAAGGCCATCAACAACACTCAAAACACTCAAGTAGTACCCGCGTGGGACGGCTCTGGGCTGGTTCTGAGAAGGATGCAGTGATGTGTGAGTCCTCACTCAAAACGCATCCACAAGACCAGGAACTCGGTGAGAAGAGCACTAAGCAAAGCAAGACTTGAGTCTAGGTCTGGCTCCTCCACTAGTGACTTTTTACAACCTTGAATCTCTAAAACCTTCTGACCCTGAATTCTCTTCCATCTTTCCTACCTCCTGTCCGGGTTATCGATGAGGCTCAAACACTTTGGGAATACGGTCAAGGTTTAGTTTCCCAAACACCTATGTGCTGGCGGCTGTGAGGGCACCATGAAGGTCACAAACCTGAGTCACATTTAGAGCCTGCCCTTCAGGAACAGAAAATCCCGAAGGACGCGCATATCAGCAAGCCCTCCAGGGGTTCTACTGCAAGGTGAAGAGATAGGTTAGTATTTTGATCAGACCAAAAGATGTCCCGCCCTTTCTGTCTCCTTCCTGAGGAGGGGTGGGCCTATGGGAACCCCTGCCGGCGGCTTCCAACGGTCCAGGAGCAGGACTTCGTGGAGGACGCCGGGAGGGCGCGACCCCAGGCCCGCCTGGGCGCAGAGCAAGCCCCAGGACTGGTGGTGGTGGGAAGGAAATGTAAAGTCTTAAGTGCTAGAATGGAAGGAGTCGGGGGCCGAGCGGAGAGTCCAATCAGTCTCCGTACCTCCCCTCGACAGCTTCCAGGCGCGGATGCACTGCAGTGGGCCCGCAGGTAACACTCGCGTCCTGGCTGCGGACCAGGCCCCCCAACTCCCCTGCGTCAGCCTCGTCCTGCGTTTCCTAGGCGATGCGCTCGCGAGGGCTTCCCCGTCCCGCCGGCGGCCGGGCGCGCCACCTGGTGGCCACACGGGGAAGAATCCAGGCGAAGGGCGCACGCAGCCGCCTTCGAAGCGGAGATCGCGCCCTTCCGCCTTGTCCCCGCGGGATTTTGACCGCCACGACTCCTCCTGTTGATTCCACGAAACACACAACTCCCTCCTTCCCTCCCTGGAGTGGCAAACCGGTTAGTGGTGAGTTGTGTGGAGATGTGACATCCGGCTCTGCGCTGTGACCGTGAGCGAGTCACTTGGGTCTGTGTGTCTGTTTCTTCCGCTGTAAACTGAGGCACAGAGACCGCTCTGGGTTTCCCAGAAACTCGCGGAATGTGCGCGTGGAGGGCTTCCGCCCCACTCTGCCCTTCAGCCACCGAGGCTTTTCTTCTCTCTGCTCTTGTTTTGTGTAAGAGTTCCTTTGGGTTGGGCTCCAGACAGAATTGCAGCCCCGTGAATGAAGTGCTTGTATAATGACGTCCAGCTCTGAAAGAGGCTTGATCCTGCCTCCTTTGCTTCTCATTTTACTTTTTTTGCTCCTAAACCTCAAGAAAACCAGCGCAGATTCCGCCTTTTCCCCCTCTTGATACTTTTTGCAGCTCTGTCCTCCTTCGAGAGACAAATATTACCGCATACCTACACCCTCTTCTCTCTTCTGCAAATTTCTTCATCCTCTGCCTCAAAACAACACTTTCTTGGGGCGCCTGGCTCGGGTCATGATCTCATGGTTCGTGGGTTCGAGCCCCGTGTCGGGCTCTGTGCTCACAGCTAGCTCAGAGCCTGGAGCCTGTTTTGGATTCTGTGTCTCCCTCTCTCTCTCTGACCCTTCCCTGTTCACGCTCTCTCAAAAATAAAATAAAACATTAAACAACAACAACAACAACAACAACAACACTTTCTTACGTCCTGGCAGCACCTGCTTAGGCGACTAACCTCTGAGTTAGTTATTTACCCCTCTATCCTGGGGAGACAGAAGTGAGGCGCTCCCTCGAACCTCCACTCTTAATTAGTCGTGTTTGGCATTCTTGAATTTGATTTTTAAAAACTAGATTATCATATGTTCTCTAACTAGTGCTGTGTTATATTTAACAGCGAATTCAAAACTTCTTAAGGGAATTGAAGCAGTTAATACACATATTAGCTTTTGCCTGAGGGAGTTTTTCTCATCAGTAAAAAGTCATCCAAAAAATAACCAGTTTGAGATAATGTATGTATTCTACCTCATTTGAACCTTACTTTATTCCATCAGTGTTGTGTATTTGTTAAATGCCAACAGGTTGCTGTGATCTACACATCTAATAAAGGTTTTAAAATGCTTGGTCTTTCCGTCTATGGCCATACCACCCTGAACGCACCCGATCTCGTCTAAAATGCTTGGTCTTTCCTAAATAACCAACAGGTGGGATTATGGGGTAAAAGATATTAAATAGAATGCAGTTGCAGGAGGAAGAAAAGAACTACCATGAAAATTTTTGAAGCGTGGGGATTATTTTTGTTAAATGGAAAAACAATTTTGTGATTATTCAGCACTTTGAACTCATTCCCAAATCATTTCCTATAAATCTTAGACCTGCTTCTTCTATGAGATCCTGGGTCCAGGGTCAAAAATGTGCTTTTACCCTATCATTTATCTCCTGGGCAGTTTTTCTCGTGGTATTTGCCAGTAGGTGGTCAAACATGAAGCCAGGTAATCATTTGCCAAGTTTCCTCATTTGACTTTGGTTTTCTGTTAGCTTTGCCATGTCGAGTGATGTGGAAATACAGGCAAGACAGTTTCTGTGGTAGAAAAAGCCAGATAGGTTGTCTGATTTGGCAAAAGGCCAAAGAACCTGTTTGGTATGCACAGTTACTAAACATTTTATACTTTTTCAAAATTTTCACCTATTTTCACTGAGGATCACTGCCTCTGCAAACAGACCCTAAAGCAAGCAACTAAATGTATTAATATTAAATTTCATAATAATTTTTAGAGGCATAAGCTAGTAATTAACATATTGATGTTGTAAACCAGTTTAAACATCTAGTAAATCAAAAAGTTCACTGACAACAAAGTTACTTTTCAGAAACAGAAAAACCCTGATAACTTCTTATTTAAAAATTTTGTTCTGACAAATATGAAATAATTAAATAGGTGTTTTGCCAAAAAAAATGTCAAGGTGCCTGGGTGGCTCAGTTGGTTAAGTCTCCCACTCTTGGTGTCTTCTCAGGTCACGGTCTCACGGTTTGACGAGTTCAAACCCCACATCAGGCTCTGTGCTGATGGTGTGGAGGCTGTTTGGGATTCTCTCTCCCTCTCTCTCTCTCTCAATCTCTCTTTGCCCTTCCCCTGCCCACACTGTCTCTGTCTCGTTCATAAATAAATAAATTTTTTAAAAAGTATTTTTTCTCTTTTTTTCAATATTCTCTTGAGAGGAAAAGTTTACATTACCTTTATCTAGACACTGACAAACCCATAGAGGGGATTGTGTTGTGATCCATCATCCATTGGCATGTTTCAACATTGTAAAATGGGATTGTTTCCCACCTAATTTATATAGGTCACAACTTGTTCTTCCAGGCTGGAGACATAGGTTTGCAATCTCTCCTCATCTCTTCATTTCTTCAAACCGAGTTTAACTTGAATGTCCAGAAGTCTGGCAAAGAGAGATCACATCTCTTTTTTTCCCACATATCTCCTCCTCCTTACTAATTTTGGAAATTACCTGTATGATCTCTTTGTTCTCTCTGAGGGAGAGGAGCCCAGGATGGTAAGCTGGAGCCAGCGTGCCATCTCCCAAGAGCCCCAGCCGGGTCGTATGGACAGTGCCTAAGGGCTTTGGTGTAGACCAATTCAACTACAGTAAGTCGACATGCTTTTGGCAGTTTTAAAATATGACTACATAGGTAAATGTACAAATCAATAGAACGTGACAAAAATATCCAGAAATAGATCCATAAAAATATATATACATATATTTGACTATATATTTTGTTTTATATGTATATATGTATACACACACACACAAACACATATAGGTAGTTGCTTCAGCCATAAGTGGCAAGATAAATAAATGAGGCAAGATAGTACTTTTGACAAAGGCTACTGTAACTATTGCATATGTCTGGGGAGAAAAAATGAGCCTTGACCTGACTATACACCTTTAAAAAATTAACTCAAAGTGAATCATAGATCTGAACATAAAAGCTAAAACTATAAAACTTCTTGAGTAAAATGTAGGAGAAAATCTTTGTGATCTTGTGTAGGCAAAGATTTCTTTTATAGGACACCTATAAAAGAGCATGAATTAAAAAAAAATAATAATTTGGACTACATCTAAATTAAATACTGCTGCTCTTTAGTCAGTTTGAAGAAGATGAAAAGGCAAGCCACAGTCTGGAGGAAAATATTCCTTAAAATTTTTTTTTAATGTTTACTTTTGAGAGAGAGACAGACCGACAGAGTGTAAGCGGGGGAGGGTCAGAGAGAGAGGGAGACAGAATCTGAAGAAGCTCCAGGCTCTGAGTTGTAAGCACTGAGCCCGACACAGGGCTTGAACTCATGAACAGTAGGATCATGACTCGAACTGAAGTTGGATGCATAGCCCACTGAACCACACAAGTGCCCTGAGGATGAAAATATTTCAATATATAGACCTGACAAAAGGCTGGTATCCATAATTTATGAACAAATTCTAATGCTCAGTAATGAGAAAATAAAACAACCAGTTACAAATGCCAAAAGATTTGAACAGACACTCCACAAAAGAAGATATATCAATGGCCAATTAGTACATGAAAATATGCTCAACATCATTAGTCATCAGGGAAATGCAAATTAAGACCCCAATGAGATAGGCTACACACCCATTTGAATTACTAAACTTAAAAAGACTGATGATCCTGTGTGTTAGTAAGGGTGGGGAGCAACTAGAACTTTCATATATTCTTGCTGAAAAAGGAAAAGGATAGAACCATTTTGGAGAACAATTGAGTAGTCTTTTATAAAGTTAAAACATGTATCTCCCACATTACCCAGCAACCCGACTCCTCGATATTTATTCAAGAGAAATGAAAATGAATGTTCATAGCAGCTTTATCATAATAGTCTAAATCAGGAAACAACCCAGATATCCATCCACAGGTAGCTGCTAAAACAAAACATTTATAGCCATACAACAGAAACTACTTAGCAAAAAATAGATCAACTATTGACTCATGCAACAAACAACATGATGGGTCTCAAAAGAATTTAGCTAAGTGAAAAAGCCAAGTGTAAAAAACCATATACGGTATCACACACAATTCTAGAAGGGCTCAAAAGCAGATGAGTGGCTGCCTAGCACTAACAGGGACGGGTGAAGGGATTGACTGCAAGGAGGCAGGAGGGAACTTTGGGATGTAGGAAATGTTCTGTACCATGATGGTGATGGTAGTTACAGGGTATAGCCATGTGTTAAAACTTGTCAAATTGCATATTTAAATGAGTACATTTTATTGCATATAAGTTATACCTTAATAATTAGTTGAGTTTTAAAAGAACAGCTGTAAATTCTTTGATATTCCTCCCATCAAGAGGTGGAGTCACTTCTTGAATCTATGTGGTCTTATGACTGCTTCAACCAAGAGAGTATAGCAGAAATGACTGTATATTATTTCCAGGGCTAGGTCATAAATAGTTGTGCAGCTTCTTCTGCTTGCACAGATACTTGTTCTGAAGGAAGCCAGCTGCCATGTAAAGTCCATCTACTGTGAGACAGCCATTCTGGCAAGGCCAAGTGTAGGTTCTGTGGTAATCTGTTCCCACTGAGACTACCTTTTAGCCCAAAAAGTGCCAACTTGTGAGTGAAGCTACCTTGGATCCTCCCAACCTGCCCATCCACCAGCTGAGTAGGGCTGAGTTGTGCCATAGTTGATGCCCCAAGGAGCAAGAGGTCGCCAGTCGCTATCCTGCAGAATCTGGGACATGATTGTTTAAAGCTATTAAGTTTTGATAGTATATTAGTTATCCATTACTATGTAACAAATTACTCTAAAACTTAATAATTCAGGACAACAGCAATCACTTGTAACCTCACAGTGTCTATGGATCAGGAGTTTGGGAGCAAGCTGATTGGGAAGTTCCAAGTTGGGGTATCCCATGAGGTCAGAAGTTAGGCAGATTCTGTCTCTGCCTGAAGAAGCTTTCAGTCTAGGGGGAGTTAGTAGACACGATAACAGGTAATCACAACACATTTGGATGATCCATGGAATAGGAGTAAAAGCCTCTGAAAAGAGAAAACCTAACCTAGTCTTGAGGGTCAGGAAAAAATTCCTAAAGGAACTGAAGTCTAAACTGAGACTTGACAATGAGCAGGCATTAGTCAGTTTGGAGGGTTGGATGTGAAGGGGGCTGAAACAGAGGAATAGGCATGGATAAAAGTCTGAGGTAAAGATGAAAATAATGAGTTTCTTGTGGAGCTGAAAGGAAGTTACTGATGCTTAGAGAATAGAGTCCCAGAGAGAGAAGAGGAGCTACCCAGGAGTCTAGAGAGAAGCAAGCAAGGACAGATTGTGACAGGTCCTCTGAACCATCTTTCATGATGACAGAAGTTCACTCTGGCTAGAGTGTAGAGGGGTTGGGAGAGGTCAAGATGGGGATAGGGTCCAGGATGAACTCCACTGATCATACTTTCTTTCTTCTGCCTGAGGGCTTCTCCCTTAGGTCTAGTTTCTGGTCCAAGACACCGCCTCTGCCTTTTGCAATATTGCTATGATTGGCAGAAAGAATGATCTCATCTCTCTGGCTCAAGTTATCAGCTTGCCCAATCTCTGGAGCCTTCTATGACTCAGGTGAGATGCCCACCCCCACACCAGGAAATAGTCTATGAAACTCTGCATCCAACAAACATATTAAAAGAATTAGAACATAGGGAGCGACACTACCTCACATCTGGAGAATGAGGCAGTATGGATTCTGACTTCTATCTTTTAAGGACTGTGTTTGTATAATTGTTTTCAGTTGATTTTTTTTTTTTTTTTTACTGTGGTAAGAACACAACATAAGATCTACTCTCTCACAAAAATTTAAGTGTATATTGTTGTTAACCGTGGCACTGTATTTAATAGCAGATCTCTCTGATTTATGCATCTGATGTAACTGAAACTTTATAGCTATTTTACAGCAACTCCCCATTTTCCCTCCCCAAAGCCCCTGGGAACCATCAGTCTACTCTCTGCTTCTAGGAGTTTGACTATTTTAGATCCCTCATGTAAGTGGAATCATACAGTATTTATCCTTCTGTGTCTGGCTTATTTCACTTAGCATAATGTTCTCCAGGCTATTGTTGCAAATGGCAGGATTTTCTTCTTTCTCTGAAGCTAAATAATATTCCATTGAATGAATATACCATGTTTTTTTAATTCATCTATCAAGGGACATTTAGGTTGTTTCAAAATTTTGGTTATTATGAATGATGCTGCAGTGAACATGGGAGTGTATATACCTCTTTGAGATCCTGATTTCAGTTCTCTTGGGTAAATACTCCAAAATGGGATTGCTAGATCATATGGTAGTTCTATTTTTAATCTTTTGAAGAACCTCAATGCTGTTTTCCAAAATTATACACAATTCCGTAGCTTCCCTTTCTGTGAGAAACAATGATTTAGAATAGACTGTGGGGCACCTGAGTGGCTCAGTCAGTTAAGTGTCTGACTTATTATTATTATTATTTTTGGCTTTATTTTGGCTCACATCATGATCTCATGGTTCATGACTTCAAGCCCCACGTCAGGCTCTGCACTGATATCATGGAGGCTGATTGGGATTTTTCTCTCTCTGTCTCTCTCTCTCTGCCCCTCTCTCTGTGTCTCTCTCACACTTTCTCTCAAAATAAATAAACATTAAAAAAAGAGAGAGAATAGACTGTGGGAAAATGTGCCATATAAAAATATCACCAGAAAAAGAGTTTAACATAGACAGTATATGTTCAAAACCTAAATAATAATTTTCTTAAAGTTCTCAAAAGTTTTAACTTAACAGACTGGATTCAAAAGGACATACTATGTACCAAGAATAGAAAATGTATAACATTGAATAATGTCAATGTTAATCTTTCCAAATAAATGTATAAGTTTAATGCAGATCTATAAAAAAAAGTTTGCAGAAGTAAAAATAATTAGGACATTTGCATGACTGTGTATCAGTATTAGCAAATCCAAGATGGTGTGCATTTTTTTTTAAATAAAAAGAAATAATGAGGTTTTGGATTATTCCCTACATTACATATGGTGTTGAGGAAATACTAAATATTTTACCTTTTATTCAGCACACTGGTTGAGAACACTGTTGCACAAGACCACATTATATGCTTCCGTTTAAATGATATGTCCAGAGAAAGCAAATCTTTCAGAGACAGAGACAGAAATTGAGAGAAGACTTCAGTTGGGGCTATACCACAATAGGGTCACCAGCAGGGGGACCACTTGGAAAGAGAACTGTCCAAATGAGGGCTGCAGAGAGAATAATCTGGAACTTGGAATTGAAAGACTCTACCAGTGAATGCACCTGACTTTGGGAATTGCACATTGTGAAGTCTATGAGACTAAAAGTCATAGGATACAGAACCATGCTTTGCCGATGTTTATTTTAAACATGAAATTTGGACTAGGATAGTCCAGAGTTTTTCTGAAGCCGCTGACCAGCTGTGAGCTTGGATAAATGACTTCTCCTTTATGTACCTTAATTTCCTCGTCTGTAAATGGAGATAATATTGCATACCTCTCAGGGTTGTTCTGAAGATTAAACACCTAGTGCAATTCTTGGCCAATAGTAGGTTCTCAGTAGATGTTAGTTCTCCTTCATACTTCCTCTCAAATGTTATTTTAGAGAGAATGCCAGAAAATAGGAAAATGTGGAGCTCTTCTGGGTCACATTTCCCATATGACTGGAGAGGACTTGCTCCACGCAGTTTGTGTCTATATCTGGTGGGACCAAAATATACATCTCTAACCCAGCTCCAAACCTGTACACCCAGCTGCCTACTCAGCATCAATTAGATGTCTCACAGGCACATCATGCCCAAAACTCATTATCTTTTACCCCTCCAACTTGCTGATCCTCAAGACTATGATCCATATTCAGTAAATAGCATCAGCATTCACCTAGCTGTTTAAGCCGAAGACTTCACTCTTTCTTCTTCCTCAAATCCCAGATGAAATCAGTCTTCAAGTTCTGACAGTCTATCTAGAGATTTGGTACATTGAACCTATTCATTAATTTTCATCCAAAAATATTTGTTGAGCAGTTACTATGGACTAGGCATCATGTCATGCTCTGTCTTCACTGCCTCCTCCCTAGTACTGATCACTGTCTTCTCCTGACTTGACTGAAGAAATAGCTTCCCTGTTAGTTGCCCTGAAACAGCTTCTTACCTCTTTGAATATTTTCTCCACATCCTGCTAGAGATTCATCCCTTTGACTTAAGATTTTAAATGTCTTCCCACCTGGCACAGCTGGTAAGACTTTCTAAGTTCCAGGCCCACTAGGCATAAGTCACGTTCCCTGATATATGCTCCAGTCATTGGTGGGATTCCCCCCAAAACAAAACCTGAGACTAGGATTTGAGTGCAAGTGGTTTATGTGGGAGGTAATCTCAAGAAGCTCTGGTAGGAAGATAGAGGAATGAGGAAGGAAGAAAAAGAAGCCTATTCAGAATGCCTCAGTGAACAGGTTCCTGGGAGATGGGTGACTGGGGCTCAGTCTCACTGGGGAACTCTGGGAGACAGTATACACTATAGCCTGAATTGTGTTCCCCAAAATTCATATGTTGAAGCCCTAATCCTCAATATGCCTATATTTGGAGATAGGGACAATAAGGAGATAATTAAAAATCAAGGAGGGCCTATAATAAGACCATAAGGGTGGAGCCTTGATACAGTAGCATTTATAAGAAGTAACACCAGGGAGCTCCCGTGAGGTCTTTCTTTCTCTTCGTGAGAGAGCACACCAAGAAGAGGTTATGTGAATACACAGTGATAAAGTGGTCACCCACACACCAGGAAGAGAGGCTTCACCAGAAACATTCCATGCTGGTACGCTGATCTCAGCCATCCAGCCTCCAGAACTGTGCAAAACTACATTTCTATTGTTTAAGCCATGCAGTCTATGACATTTTGTTATGGCAGCCCAGGCTTAGATGGTACAGAATACCCAGAGGGTGAGGGAGCTGGGTAGTTAACTCTCAAGTCTCATTCACCATGGGTTGAAGACCACTCCTGAGGGCACTGATTCCCTGACAGCCTGCACCATACATAGGCTGAGCATGCTCCTGCCAGCTGTGGGCCAGAGAAGCCTCACTCAGCCTGAGGGTCTCTTGCAGGAAGAAGCCTTTGGCTCTCCTGGTGAGTGCCGAGGGGATGTGAGCAGCATGGCAGTGGTGGCTACCACAGCCCCCCAGTTTACTTTCCATCCGTAGCTCTGCTTATCTTTATAATGACTCATTCAGCTAATGTGTTAGGTCTGTAAGATTATAGACAATATCTCTCTGCTTCACAAATGTACTGCCAGTGCCTAGCTGAGAGCCTGACAAGTAGTAGTGGCTCAAGAGATATTTAATGAATATTTGGATAAATGAATAACTGATGATCCTTTTCAGAAAGTAACCAGGGGGCACCTGGGTGGCTCAGACAGTTAAGTGTCTGACTCTTGGTTTTGGCTCGTCATGATCTCATGGTTCGTGAGTCTGAGCCCCACGTGGGACTCCACACTGGCAGTGTGGAGCCTGCTTGGGATTCTCTCTCTTTCCTTCTCTTTCTTCCCTTACGCTGCTCTCTCTCTCTCTCTCAAAATAAATAAATAAATTTTTTAAAAAATCTTAAAAAAAAAAGTAACCCAGGCATGTCATGCTCTGTATTTGACAAATTACACATGGAGCATAAAACCTCCAAGTTACCATGATACCTAAATCCCCACATTCACATAAATCACTGAACTCTCTTTATAGTAGCTGATTAAAAGTCTTACTAGGGTTTCTAAGTAAAGCTTAAGGTGTAAATTTTTATCCCTTTGCAACAAATACAGTCCTAACACCTTTTTTCTAGACCCAGGCCACTCCACATGTTGTGCTGGGGTTGGGAAGGATAAAGCACACACAGTCCACCCTCTGCAACAACAACCAGGCTCAGCCACATGACTCTCTAGAAATGGCTGTAGGTGCCTACAGTTTGAACACAAACAAGGTAGAGCACATGAACTTGAAGGCAGCTTTAGGGAACTCAGACCTTATCCTGTGAGCACTGGGAAGTATGGACGGTTTCTCAGCATAAAAGCAAGACTTCATAAAGATTAATGAACAGTGATACCTAGGTGGGAATGGAGTGGGGAGAGACTGGAGGCTGGGAGACAAGATGGGAGGGAAGAGCACTGAGACAACATGGCTAAGCAGAAACTTGTGAGCTGTGTGACACTTTGCATAGTAGGAGCTGGAGACAGAGGAATCACTGCAGTGAATGAATCAAAGTATAAACAGTATGCAAATACAGTCAAGGTTTTAATCTAACTCCCTTATAAGCCCTCTTCTGTTAATCTTTGACATTATTTCCTAAGACACCAAGGGGGTATTCATAAAAAAAAAAAAAAAAATAATAAGCCATCACAAAAGTTCGCTCTACATCATCAAGAATGTAAGTTCTGACAACTATGTAACTTGAAAAGGGAGGTAAAATGGCATTGATTTTTGTGTGTCCCTGGGATGATGCCTGAGTGTTGTGTACATATAGCACATGACTTTCTCTGAAACTAAGAAACTGTGTTTCCCTTAAAACTTTTTTTTTAATGTTTTATTTATTTCTGA